AGCCTAAGAGGCACAGCCTGCCCACCAGGTTCATGGGATTGAGGGATTCCTCCTCTCCTCTGCACACTCGTGTCCAACCCACTCCTAAGTGAACCCATCCTCCCGACTGCTGCCGTCTGGAACCACAATCGCCTCCTCCCTTCCCTTTGTCCCACCCCCGTCTATCACAGGAGCCTTGCTCTTGGCCCTGGCCCTCCTGTCAGAATTTGGGAAACAGACCTGGTGATTAGAGCCTCAAGTCCCAAACCTTGCTTCCAAAAGTCTCCTGATGCACACAAAGAGGACCCAGGAAGCTCTCAACTCCGGAATCTGGGTCCTGGGTAAACAACCGTGAGCGTTTGAAGTAGACCCAGAACTATATGGATGTAGGATACACTCCTACTTTAAAACGTAATCAACAGAAGAACAGCATGGCGATTCCTCCAAAAAAACCTAAAAATACAATCACCATAGGATCGATCCAGCAATTACATTTCTGGGTATTTACTCAAAAGATGTGAAAGCAAGGTTTCAAAGAGATTTTTGTACACTCGTGTATATAGCAGCACCATTAACAATAGCCCAAAGGCAGAAACAACCCGAATGTCTACTGACAGATAAATGCAAGTGTGTGTGTGTGTGTGTGTGTGTGTGTGTGTACACACACACACACACACACACACACATAGTGTAATATATATACATATACAATATATACATATACACACACATAATGGTCTATATATACATATACACATACACATACACATACACACACACACACACACACAAATGGAATACTACTCAGCCTTAAAAAGGAAGCAAATCTGACACATGCTACAACATGGATGAACCCTGAGGACATTCTGCTAAGTGAAAGAACCCAGACATAAAAGACAAATACTGTATGATGATTCTACTTATATGAGGTTCCTTCACTAGTCAAATTCAGTGACAGAAGGCGGGTTACCAAGGGCTGGAGGCAGGGCAGGGGAGGATGAGGAGTTAGTGTTCAAAGAGTATAGAGTTTTAGTTTGGGAAGATGAAAAAGTTCTCGAGATGGGTGTGGTGATAGTTGCACAAGAATGTGAATGTACTTAATTTCACTGAAGTGTACATTTTTAAACCTTTAAGGGTTAAAATGGTAAATTTTATGTTAGGTATATTTTACCAAAAGGGTAAAAAAAAAAGCAATCGACGAAAGGATTGAAGCTTCAATTAATCTAAATAAGCTAGCTTATTAGATTAACTAGGATTTTTATTTAAAGAGGATACATAACCAGAAACCCACAACCTCTGGTTTCATCTTCTTCCTCTCCTCTGAGGATAGAAGTGGGTGACAGGCAGCAGAGGGACAGAAGAGCTACCACCAGACAATCCAAGGACATGCAGGCTTCTGAGAGGACAGGCCAATTCCTCCTGTGCCCGCTGACCCCAGAGACAGGACAGAGAAGGTGGTGCGACGGCAGGTGGTACAGTCTGACCCACAAACGGCTCTTCACGACACTTTATTAAGAGTCATTGGTTCTGGCAGGGGCCCCTGGGTGGCTCAGTCGGTTAAGCGCCTGGCTTTGGCTCAGGTCATGATCTCACTGCTCATGAGTTCGAGCCCTCGCCCCCCCGCCGGGCTCTGTGCTGACAGCTCAGAGCCTGGAGCCTGTTTCGGATTCTGTCTCCCTCTCTTTCTGCCCCTCCCCTGCTCACGCTCTCTCTCTCTCCTTCAAAATACATAAGCATTAACAAAAAGTTTTAAGAGCCATTGGTTCCTGCAGACTGGGGGCTTCCCAGAAGATGGTTTCTTTCCCACCACAGATTTACAGACACTGTTGTGCTTCCTGGAACTTTTCCATCACAATTCCTTATATTTCAGAAATCATTTCTGGAAAATACAACCTCTGATAATGCGTTCTGCATTTCCACTACATCTGAGATGTTGGTACATGGACAGGTCAAATGCTCCTCAGTAACCTCATCTAGGCTTGGGTGAATGGGATGTGTGAATAGGGCATTTACACCTGTCACAGGCTCACCCAAGCCAAAAAAAGTCTCCACATTGTCCCTGTACGCATGCTCAGGGACCTGCATTATCAGTTAGCGGGGCACCTGTCTGAGCCCACGGAGTCTGCCTTCTGTGAGGATGGTTTAAGATTCGCTTTCTCTAAGAAGCCTCCTTTGACTGATTTACCTCCTCCTATAAGATTTGCGTCTATCCTTAAGTCTTCTTCACCCATACCCCTTGTGTTTCCCCGGCTCGTAAATGCCTTACAGCCAGGACAGTGTCTTAAATTTCCTTTTACAACGGCTTTAAATAAGCACCCTGTCATTCAGCTGGGCTCTGCAGCAGATAGCATTTTCCCAAAACGGCCTCATGAAGATTTCCCCACCTCTCATGTCCTTGTTACAATGTGGCCAGCACTCCTTCCACTGTGAGGCAGGGTCTCTGCTTCCTCCCTCTGAACGCCAACAGGGGGTTGTGTCTGTTCCAACAGAGTAAGGCGGAAGTGATGCTCTATGACTTCCCAGGCTGGATCACAGGAAGGAGACAGCTTCTACCTGGCTCTCCCTTTCCAGGACACTCAATCAGAGAGGGCCGACTACCATACCGTGAGGAAGCCCAAACAAGCCCATGTGTAGACCACATGGACCCGCGTGCGGAGAGGAACAGAGATCTCTGGCCATCGGCCAGCATCACCCACTAGACACAGAAGTGAATGAGCCTTCAGATGTCTCTGTCCTCCTCCCTGAGTCTTCCAGAGCAGGCCCCAGACCCTGTGAAGCAGAGTCAGGCCATCTTCCCTGTCCTTCCAAACCCCTGTCCCACAGAACATTGCCAGCATGATCACTGGTAGCTCGGTGGCCTCAGGCAGCCATAGGCACGGGGTTTCCATACATGTGGCCACCGGATGAGTAATTCCAAAGCTCTCTCCTCTCTAAAATGGGCTCTGCTTAACTGCTCCAACTTCATTTTTTCCCTTCTCCACAGTGGAATGCCTATCCTGTAGGACCTCCTATAGGACCATGACTCAGGGTGTCCACGTCTCTATTCAGCTTCATAGCCACTGTCTACTAACCACACTTCTTCAGCCAGACTGGGCTGCTTTAGGGAAGGGGGAGCCAAAGGGAGGAGTCATTCCTAATCCAAGCCAAGCGCTTCCTTCCAGAGAGCGCCCACTGCCACCAATTCCACAGAAAAGTAGGTATATCTAAATCGCTACCCAGTCAAGGGTAAGAAGACATTTTCCCTTTCCAAATGAAGAAGATGTTCAGCTCAGACAACAGTCTCCACCTTCTGTTTGGTGTTGGTAACCGTACAGAAGGATGCCAGGGGCCTGCCCTGGCCCCAGGCAGGCCGGGCAGGAATCTTTTCCACGACACAGGCCTGGGACCCATAATAAGCACGGGGCCAAAGACACCATCCACCTGGGACCTCCATCCGGTCTCCCCTGCTCTGCTATCCTTACCCGATTCCCTGATTCGAAAAGGTTGATAGTTGGCAAAAGTCCCTCAGCCTCACAAAGTATTAAAAAGAAAGTTTTGTCCAGTTCCGGAAGAATCTGAGTTTCTGCACAAGTTAGAACTCTCCACAGAGCCACAGAGTAACCCTTACCGTGGCGGGAACAAGCCCATGTTTGTTCTCCGGACTAGAGCAAGACCTTGGCTTTCTTAGGGAGGCCCCTTTAGCTCTCATGCAGAAAAGTCTTGATAAGCAGGACTCGAATATGAGGAAAGTTCCACCAATGGAAAAGAACGGAAAGGGCAGGGGCACCGGGGTGGCTCAGTCGGTTAAGCATCCGATTTTGACTCAGGTCATGATCTCGCTGTCCGTGAGTTCGAGACCCACATCCGGCTCTCTGTTCTCGGCACAGAGCCTGCTTCGGATCCTCTGTCTCCCTCTCTCTCTGCCCCTCCCCCGCTCAAACTACCACTTGCACTCTCTCTCTCAAAAATAAATAAGCATTTGTTAAAAAAAAAAAAAAAAGAAAAAAGAAAAAAAAAGGAAGGAAGGAAGGATGGGCAAAATTCCTCACCGTCCCTCACACACACCGAAAAGCAATCATGAGCATCTCTGGAGCAGCTTTCTTCAAGAGTATCCAGAAATGTCCGACAGAAACACCTTCTTCCCACACACTCATTCCTAGTTCCGAGTGGTTCTAGCCCAGTCCTGCCTTCTTCCTCTCTACCCCACACAGTGCACCAGCAGCTTTTCGGGCTTCTGTGACTGCCCACCGTGTCGATCGAGCCACAGTTAACTGTAAGCAAGCACATACAACCTGTGACAAGCGGATTTAGAAGGCGATCTCCTTTGCAGTAACTATGGTTTATTTGTGGAGAGCTGGCCAGATGTCCTGAGCTGACCAGCGGGTGGCACTTCGGGGAGGCTGTGAGCACAGGTTGTGTATGGGCAGGAGGGACATTGCTTATTATTCTTCCATTGAGACTGGATCTTTAATGAACATCTTAATACATTCTGATGCATGCCAGGGGATGCATGTACTTGGATACTAGCATAAGAAACCAACGTTTTTCGTAAATATGATACACTTGAGAAAAAGGCAGAAATCATGAAGCAAGACCAAAAATGGCACTTTTAGCCATTCTCAGATATACCTAAGACAAGGCAGGGGGGCATGGAGGGGACAGGGACTTCACTAACAAGCCTTCACTCAGCTTTCTGTTTGCCCCGCCTCACCATTCATGCGGGACATCCTTGATTTCTGCGCTTATCCCTAGACAGAATACACTACCCAGAAATCACTTGTGTCCCTGCCCTAGAGCCATCCATTTTTTGTTTTAAAAGAAATGTGCTACCTACCACCACCTTTATGTAAAAGCTCTATTCCTCCAAATAGCCAGCGGCCCTCATCAATGAAGCAAATGGAATAATTCTAATTGCTGTGAACTGATACCATAGGTAGAGAAGCCACCAAAATTTAGCTTGAAAACCCACAGATTTGATCAAACCGAAAGCTATAAACCAGGAAGGGTATTCCTCAAGAGGAAAAAAAAAAATTTAGCTTTACCTGTGACTATAGCGGATGGCTATCGTCAGTCCAAGCTGTAATTAAAAAGAGAGAAAAACACATACTAAATAATATGAAGAGCATGCTGAGTTCACAAGAAAATTAACTTACGACGGTCCGTTATTTTTTAAACATTTCCTAAAATCTCCTACTCCTACTCCTTATATTTCATAAATAACACCTTTTAATGATAGTTCTTTGGTTTCAACATCATTCTTAAAGGCTAGTCAGATTGTGAAAGGGTCTTAGAGACATCTAAAATATTTCACTGTGGGGGCGCCTGGGTGGCGCAGTCGGTTAAGCGTCCGACTTCAGCCAGGTCACGATCTCGCGGTCCGTGAGTTCGAGCCCTGCGTCGGGCTCTGGGCTGATGGCTCAGAGCCTGGACCCTGTTTCTGATTCTGTGTCTCCCTCTCTCTCTGCCCCTCCCCCGTTCATGCTCTGTCTCTCTCTGTCCCAAAAAAATAAATAAACGTTAAAAAAAATTTTTTTTAAATATTTCACTGTGAATTGGACAGGTGTCTCTCATCTGGAGACACCTTCCATAACAGAGCCTTTATTTATTTATTTATTTATTTATTTATTTATTTATTTATTTATTTATTTTGCTTTTCTTTTTTTTTTCCTTTGCATGCTTTTACACTTAAGTTTTAAAATTTTTTCATTGAGGTATAACGGACAAATAAATTGTACGTACTTAATACTTACAACGTGATGATTCAATACACATACACCCTGTGAAATTATTACCATGTGTTATCACTTTAATTAACACATCCATCACTTCACATAATTACCTTTTTTTCCCCTTTTTTTGGTGAGATAGAACGTTTCAAGTACACAATATGCTACTGTTAACTATAGTCACCATGCTGTGCATTAAGTCTCCGGAGCTTATTCATCTGACAACTAAAAGTTTATACCCTCTGACCAACATCTCCCCACCCCCAGCCCCTGGCAACCAGCATTCCACTCTCTGTTTGTATGAGCAAAACAGGGCTCTTTCAGCTCGGAGACAAAGCCGTGAAAGGACAGGATTCAGCGTGTGGCTGATTCTGAGGCTTGACATACCCCCGTCCTGGGGGTGGTTCCTTCCTCACTCGCCCTGCCCCAGGAGTGCTGAGCGGAGCCCAGGCCATGAAGAGGACTGACCCGCCCCCCCCCCCCCGCCCCCGGGCCAGAGTCTTGCCAGGGGAATCTGCACAACCTTCACACTGATCTCATAAGCTCCAGGCCGGCAAGGTGCACCTCTGAGGGCACGTGTGACATCGAGAGAAAGGGTACACAGTCGCCAGAGATGGCGACAAGTACAGGCCAGGGTGGCACTGTGATTTCCTTTTTACTCTGTGGGGGGGTCACGGAAACCTCTCAAGCAGAAGAGGGGGTCGAATCATATGGCACGGGCCTCAGCTTGTTCATGGATTCCAGAAGAGTCAGGCCACAGGAGTTCACCGCTAACCATACGGGCATCACGTTATTTAAACTCTCAGGGTCACGGTATCTGCATCTGTATCATGGGCAAATAATTATTTTCTCGTGCAAGGATGAAGCAACTTTTTCTATTTTGGTGTTTATACCTGTGTGTGGCGCACACACGATGCGTGCCGCCTGATAGGAAAAACTCTACAGGTGGGCCTGGCGGCAGAAGGCACCAGCAGGTGGGAAAAAACTCTATAAATAGTAACTACCGCTACTATATATAGGCAATATTTCATTTATGAAAATGTTTTCATTTTCCAAAATTTAATTGTTAAGTTCATTTTTGGAACTTACAAAGTATTTCATTAGGTTAAAATGATGATCAGCCTCAAGCATGCCCATAAAAGTCTCGACGGTCCCCCTGTGGCTGAACTGTGGCACGACTAGTTTAAGAGACTCGGCAGCAGTTAAAAACCCAAGCATCATCGATCATATCATTTCCGAGCAAAAAGTCTGCCTACGTGGAACCTTGAAATCCCCAAACACATCACTGCCAGTTTCTCTGACGTTGGCCCCAGGGCGGTGGGGGTGGGGAGGTCACTTCCATGGGGCTCTCCGGGATGCTATGAGATGACACAAGAGTCCCTGGGCCATGGGAGGGTGGAAGGGGTAAGAGTCCCTGGGCCGTGGGAGGGTGGAAGGGGTAAGGAAGAAGCAAGGGGATGGAGAGTTAGGAGAAATAAAACCGTTGAGATGAATATAATATTACGTCAACTATAATCAGTTAGAATTATTGAAAGAAAGAAAGAAAGAAAGAAAGAAAGAAAGAAAGAAAGAAAGCCCAAACTTCTGTCCAGCTTGACACGCTGCAAAATCCCCCAGCTATTGTTTGAATAGCTCAGCTCCAGAATGATTCGGCCGTGTGTCATCATCAATGCATACCCCAAATGCAGAACCGACACTGGCGAGCCATTAGGGATCAGGGAAGATAGGCTTCATTTTACAAAAAGATTATCTAAAAGTGAAGGTGTGAAATATATAACATCCAGCTGATTTCATATCACACTCAACTGAGTGTATTCAATTATTTGTCAACTAAACCAGGAGTGTGTGTGTATATGTGTTTGTGTGTGTGTGTATATATATATATATATATATACACACACACGTATATATATGGGAGATTTAAGTGAACAGAAGAAGAGGCCTCAGGGACAATCAAGAATTTAAAGAACAAGGAGGAAATTATTTAGGGAAGAACATAAAAACAGAAACTACAGCCAAAAAGGTCAGGATGAGCAATTCACAGATTTCACATGTCCCGTCACTTTACATTTCCTGGAGTTAAAAAGTTCTGGCTTACAGTTAGGCTTATTATAAGATAATTTCACCAACTGAATGTGTTGATAAGCTTTAGAGTACTGCTTCATTGGTGGCTTTTCCACAGTTGAAAGACACGCCTTTGCTGGAGCAGGGAGAGAAAATGGGCATGGGAGGGACAAAACTAAGAAAAAAGCAGAGGAAGTTGTTCAATGGTAGCCGTGCTGGTTAAAAGGAGCTGGGAGATAAATCCTTCACAGAGATGAATTTCAATTAAGCACTTTTATTTGCCTTTTCCTGACTTCTCAAATATGCTTTCCCTGTCATTTTAAAAAGGACATCTTTGTGAAGGAAGAAAGTGTGGATCACGGAACCACACAGACCAGCTGCAGCATATCCCATGGGCCAGGTAACAACGTGCTAGGGAAACCAGATGATCCAAACCCATGCACAGGCCCCGGGGCTACATGGGAACCCACTCGTGTGGTGCATGGGAACAGGGCACCGCACAGCCATCCTGGAAACACGGCTTAAACTCCACACGGAACGCAATGGATCCAATTAGGCAGCCTTGCCAAGATGCCGGAACACTGCAGAAAAATCTTCATAGGCCTTACCACAAAGCCCCAGGTTGGAACATGAGTGAGGACACTATGTCTGCTCCTCCTCACTCCTACATATCATCTGACCCTACAGAAGGCAGAGAAGGGAGAAAATTCCCTAAGGTTTCTGTACCATAGCAAATACCAAAGGCAACTTGTAATCTGCTGAGAAAGGAGCCAGAGATAGTCTTCTGCCCTGGCATTAGGAACCCCCACGGGCCAGTGAGGCCTCCACAAGCCCTCGCCCTGCTAAGAAGCATCAGCAACTCGGAAATGCTTTAACCAAGTCTCACCACTGTCTGCATCTGCACAGACACACATGCATCAGCGCACATGTGCACACTTTGGGCCCAATCTACACATGCATGTGCACACATATGTACACACACGTGCACGCTCAGACCCAAGTCACACATGTGTGCATGGACACTTATGCCTGCATACACATCCACACTCACACACATGCATGCACAGGTACACCACTCGTATGTGCACATATACCAAGAAGCATGTGTTCATATGTGCACATGTGCACGCACATGCTTACACAATACTCAGATGCAAACATATGCGTGCCCTGGCACAGATGCACGTATACACACACATTCATACAGACATGCACTCACCCACGTGCACAGAGACACTTTGGCATTCAGAGAGGCCCATGGAGCCCCCAGGGACAAAGGGAGGCCTCAGACAATTGACCCTTTTGTTGCTGGTCTCAGCAGGAGCCCAGCAGAGAGAGAGGAGGGAGGCCTAGGGGTTGGCCCCCCTGACCCCAGCCCAGCCAGGGCTGAGGCCCAGGGACACGGAGGTCAGCTGGAGTTTTGTGCCTGCTGCCCTCCCGGGAGAACAGCCCCCCAGGACATACTGTAAGTATTACCAGAATGCACTTAACAAACTCCCACTCCGAGTACTTCGTTTTCGATTTACACAATTTGTTAATAACAAAATTAAATCACATTTTAATGGCAAGGAAAGAGTACTTGAACGTTTTTCAGAATCTCTACCAGCTACAAAAACCTTTTTCCTGCTGCTGCGGCCTGAAACTGCTCCTTTTTTGGAACAGCTGACTAAGGCAGCTGTTTTGTATCAAGTCTGAGGGTTTTCTATATGACCCAGGGAGCTCAGACAACAGGCAGACCTCGCTGCATTAAAGAGTAATCCGAGAATAATTTGCCATAAAACCCCCCGAAGTGCGCCAGCTGTAGCCGGATACGCCTTATAAAGCACCAAGTAGTCTGCATGGATCTTGCAAAATAATCATAATAATTTCAGAAAACACATTTTTTAAACACCTTTAAAAAATATTTTTTTTTTTTTTTTTTAAGGAAAGGAGTGGGTGACGCTGTCTTGGCAGGGCACTTGCCTCACGTGGGTTCCCCTCCCTGTCCGCGGTCTGTCGCGAAGCGTCTCTTCCTAATGCCCACTTGCCCAAGGGTGCCTGTGTTGTTGGGAATCCCCTCCTCACGGGTCCACTGTGCTTCGTGTTTGTGATGTGCTGTCACCCACCCGAGGCAGCCGGGGGCAGGTGAGGAGGAAGAGTCCATTAAATGCCGGCCCCAAGGTGGCCCAGCTGGTGAGTGGTGGTGCTCCAAGTCTGGGCCCAGAACTTTCTAGACTGGGGTGATATGCCGGCCGGGGCTATGACTAGGAGCCATGCCCTCTCACAGGCCCGGTGCTAGCACTCTCTA